CCTGCCTCCCCCAAAAAGGCCCCTGCAGCTGCAGCCCCCCCTTCCAAAGGGGCCCCCACCCCTCCAGCTGAGACTCCTGCCTCCCCCAAAAAGGTCTCAGCAACTCCATCTCCCAAAGGGGGCCCCACTCTCCCAACCAAGACTCCTTCCCCTAAAAAGACCTCAGCATCTGCAGCCCCCAAAGGGGCCCCCACTGCCCTGCCTGAGACTTCCCCTTCCCCAAAAAAGGCCTCAGCAACTACAGCCCCCAAAGAGGCCTCCACTCCCCGACCTGAGACTCCCCTCTCCCCCCAGAAGGCCCCAGCAGCTGCGGCCCCCCCTTCCAAAGGGGCCTCCTCCCCCCCAGCTGAGACTCCTCCCTCCCCAAAAATGGTCCCAGCAACTACAGCCCCCAAAGAGACCTCGGCAACTCCATCTTCCAAAGAGGTCCCTACTCCCCCAGCTGAGATTCCCCTCTCCAAAAAGACGCCAGCAACTCTATCGCCCAAAGGGGTCATCACCCCCCCTGCTGAGACTTCTCCCTCCCCTACAAAGATCCCAGCAAATGCAGTACCCAAAGAGACCCCAACCATTGCATCATCCAAAGAGGCCCCCACTGCCCCAGCCAAGACTCCTTCCTCCAAAAAGACTTCAGCCACTACAGCCCCCAAGGAGACTCCAACTACAGCTGGCAAAGGGGTCCCCGCTGCCCCTACATCCGTCTCCCCGAAAAAGGCCCGAACAACTGCAGCTCCCCAAGAAGTCTTGGCAGCCCCATCGGCTAAAGGGGCCTCCATTTCCCCAGCTATGGTTGTTGCCCCCCCTAAAAGGCCACCAGCAACTGCAGCCCCCCAAGAGGTCGTAGCAGCCCCATTGTCCAGTGAGGTTCCCGCTTTACCATCAGAGACAACTCCCCCCGAAAAAGCCCAGGCAACTGCAGCCCCCAAAGAGACTCTAGCAAATACATCTCCCAAAGGAGCCTCCGTTCCCCCAGCTCTGGTTCCTCCTTCCCCTAAAAAGGCGCAGGCAGCTGCAGCCCCCAAGGAGATCCTAACAACCCTGCCCCCCAGTCCTTCAGCAGAGGCTCCCCCCTCCTCCAAAAAAGCCCTTGCTCCTGCCTCCCCCCAGAAGGCCTCAGCAGCTGCAGCCCCCAAAGAGGCTCCCATGCCCACATCAGAGATTCCTCTCTCCCCCAAAAAAGCCCCAACTTCACCCAAAGAGACCCCCATTACTGCAGCCCTGGCTCCTGGCTCCCCTAAAAAAGCCCCAGCAACTGCAGCACCCAAAGAGGCCCCAACCACTCCATCCAAGGAGGACCCTACTCTCCCAAGCAAAGCGCCCTCCCCCAGAAAGCCTTCAGCAACCTCACCTTCCAAAGGGGTCCCAAGTGCCCCAGCTGTGACTCTTCCCTCCCTGAAAAAGATCACAGAAACCACAGCTTCCAAAGAGCCCCCAGCTCCTCCAGGGATGACTCCCTCCTCCAAGCAGGCCCTGTCAACCAAAGGGAGCTCCCCCACCCCAGCCAAGACTCCTTCCCCAAAGAGGGCCCCAACCACTGCAGCATCCAAAGAGGACCCTGCTCCCCAAGTTATCACTCCTACCCCTTCCCAAAAGGCCCCAGCAACCCCATCTTCCAGAGGGGCCCCAGCAAACGCACCCTCCAAAGGAGGTCGCTCTTCAGCTGCTACTCCTAAAAAGGCTCCAGCCCCCAAAAGGGCCTCCACTCCCCTAGATGCCATCCCTCCCTCCAAGGAGGGCCCTGCTACCCCATCCTCTGAAGGAGCTCCCGCTCTCCCCGCTGTTTCTCTCCACTCTCACGCAGAGGCTCCATCCCCTAAAGAGGCCTCCATTTTTCCAGCCACTCCTCCCTCCGAAGGGGCTCCTGCCATTCCATCTGGATATCCTCCCTCCCCTAAAGGCTTCCCTACTTTCCCAGTGTTAGTCCAAAGTACCTTGGGGACAGTTGCCTCTCAGGCATCAGAAGGGCTCCCAGAAAAGAAAGGCCCCACAGACACTAAAGAAGTACTTGTTGCCCCAGCCCCAGAAAGTGCACCAGTTACTGAGGCTCCTGTTCACAAAGGCAAAGGGGCCAAGAATTCTGCCCTTCAGCCTCCGAAGTGTTCCGATCCCTCTGCTAAGAATGATACTAAAGGGTCACATTCTGCCATGACTCCAGCCCCTCTGTTGACAGCCCCCACTCAGAAAGATTCTTCAAAGACTACAAAAGCCCTCCATATTTCTGCTGCAAAGAGCAGAGAATTTCATTCTGCAGAAGGTCCTTTGGCTGCTCCTGAGTCTAAGACATCTACCCCTCTGGCAGCAGTGGCCTCTGAGAAGATTCTTCCTAAAGCTGGATCAGCATCTGTCTCTCCAGCACCCAACCCACCAGTCTCCCCGCCTCTTGCTCCCTCCCCAGTTCCCCCTCTGCTTCCTAAACAGCAGTTTCTGCCTTCCTCACCTGGGCTGGTGCTGGAATCGCCCTCTAAGCCCCCAGCTCCTGCTGATGAGGATGAGCTGCCGCCTCTGATTCCCCCGGAACCAATCTCCGGGGGCATGCCTTTCCAGTCGGTCCTCGTCAACATGCCCACCCCCAAACCTGCTGGAATCCCTGCCCCAACCCCTTCTGCCAAGCAGCCTGTTTTGAAGAACAACAAGGGTATTTGCCTTGGTTTGCTGTGTGCATGGTGTGTTGCCCACACCCCTCTTGGGGGCTGCCCACCAGTACTAACCCTCCAGTGCGCCGCTTTCTCCAATACATCTGCTTGGGTTTGGATATAGTACATAGAATGATAATCTTAAATGCAAAAAGCTCTGGGAATACAACATTAAATCTTGGTTTTCATTATCTCAGATAGTACTTTGTATCTTATATAATATGGTACAGACTGAACTGTGTTACCCGCCATCCTTTTTACTTAACTGTTCTGACATTGAAAACCAAGGCCTACCAGACCTTTACTTTGCTCTAATCTTACACATCACTAACTTTGTCCCTGGGCCTGGGATTTGCTAAAAATATTGGAGAATCTGGAGCAATTTTTGTTTTTATTTGATAGACTTAGTAATGACCAGTTGCCCAGGGACTTCCTTTTCTTAAAAATGTAGACACCCACTTTTTCCTAGAATGGTGCAGGTAAATGCTGTTTTTCTCAGTAGTCTTTAGTGGTGCTTGGCCTTTCAATTAAGGGACACAAAATGTGAGTTACTTTTGAAAGAAATGGGGGAAGTCACAGCACAGTAAGAAAGAGAGAAGCTGACTTGCAGAACTTGACATTCAGGATTTTCCAGAGATACTGATTAGATCAAATTATTAGAGTGAATGGTTTGAAAATAAAGACAGATGTATATATATCTTTCTGGCCTTCTCCGATTTAAGTTTAAAGGATGAGGGGAAAGCACCCTGTCACTTTATTGTTTCTTTACTTGGGCATCTAGAGATACCTTTTGCCAGAACCTTTCTGAGACGATTGAGCTGTTGGAGTTCTGTAGGTGTTTTGTGGATGCCTATGCCAAGAAATGAAGATTTTAAGGGGAAGAAAGCAATTAGAGTACTAAAAAGGTTCAGCTGTATCTAGTGATATCCCTCATTTCTGGAGGTGAGTCTTTAATAGATGCGTATGTGCTAGTTGGCAGGGCGGGGTGCTTTCGAGCTGGCTTCACACAGTTAGTGGATATACATTTAACATTGTAAGGCCTAGCATACAGCAGTGATCTGTAGTCTAAACAAGCTATAGTGGGCACTTCCTTAAAATCTCTACTGTAAAATTAATTGTAAAAGCTGTTTGTCATCTTAGGGTCTGGAACAGAATCTGACAGTGATGAATCGGTACCAGAGCTCGAGGAGCAAGACTCCACACAAGCAACCACACAGCAAGCCCAGGTGGGTATTGGTTGGTGTAAGTGCTGTCCATGGGTCAGGGTAGTAGTGAAGAACCAGGGCTGATCAGGCATGACTTCTATGTTTGAACTGTAAATCTTGGTAAAGGAAAACCGCTTAGACATAGAGAAGGTGATATCTAGATCTTGGGCTCCATTTACTTCATAGTTGTTTTGTCTTTAGCTGGCAGCAGCAGCTGAAATCGATGAAGAACCAGTCAGTAAAGCAAAACAGAGTCGGAGTGAAAAGAAGGCACGGAAGGTAATTTTTCTTTTTCTTTTTGTCTTTTTGAGACAGGGTCTCACTATGCAGTTCAGGGTGGCCTTGAGCTCACTTTGTAGCCAGGCTGGTCTCGAACTTGCAATGATCCTCCTGCCTCAGCCTCCCGAGTGCTGGGATTATAGGCGTGCGCCACCACATCCAGCAGAAGGTAAACTTTTAAGTTACAAACAGAGAGTCAGGGTCTGGCTCTGTAATTCAGGTTGGCCTGGAACTCCCTATGTAGTTCAGGCTGTCCTCAAACTTGTGGCAACCCTCCTGCCTCAGCCTCCCAGTTGTTGGGATTTCAGGCGAATGCCACCATGCTCAGCTCTGTTCTTAATTTATATAAACTTTCCTTAACCCAGGAAGTCTTTGCTTTGGAATGTGTTCCTTGCTTTCTGAAGCTGCTTCTAAGGTTGACACTTAATGTTCTTTTATATTCTTTAGGCTATGTCCAAACTGGGTCTTCGGCAGGTTACAGGGGTTACTAGAGTCACTATCCGGAAATCTAAGAATATCCTCTTTGTCATCACAAAACCAGATGTCTATAAAAGCCCAGCTTCAGATACCTACATAGTTTTTGGGGAAGCCAAGGTGAGTAATGTTTTCCTGGGAGCTGCTCTAGACCAGCATTATTGACATTTTGGCTTAAGTAATTCTTTATTATGGGAGCACTATCCTGTGCATTATAGATGTTTAGCTGCTTCATATCTAGTATGATTTTTTTTAAAAAAAAGTGTTTAAACTTTTCCAAATAGCCCATGGAGACATAATTGCCCATAGCTGAGAATCTACACATAAGTTACTTCTCCATCTATGATATTCTGAGTAAGGCATGCCCTTTACAATATATAGTAAGTTGCCTAAAATGGACTTAGAGTGACAATTTTGAAAAGATTTATATGATTTGTCTTTCTTTACTGCAAACTAAGCTACTCACCTAATTTCTATTCTCTGTCCTATAGATTGAGGATTTATCTCAGCAAGCACAGTTAGCAGCTGCTGAGAAATTCAAAGTTCAAGGTGAAGCTGTCTCAAACATTCAAGAAAATACACAGACTCCAACTGTACAAGAGGAGAGTGAAGAGGAAGAGGTATACCAGAAAACCTTCTGTACCATTTTTTGTAATTTTTGTTCCGCAGTAGTAGTCTGTGGTGTCAGATTTTTCCCCCTTCGTACTGGAGATTGAAGCCGAAACTTTCACACTACGCTACCTCTCCAGCACTTTGAGACAGGATCTCCCTAAGTTGCCCTATGTGGTTTTGAACTTGTGACCCTCCTGCCTCAGTCTCCCAGAGTGCTGAGATTATAGGCATGTGCCCCTGCACTTAGCTAAATTCTGTAGTTTTCTTTTTAATATACTCAGCCTCCATTGAGTTATGTGGCTTTTTATTCATACTAAAAACTAGATTCAAGAAGATTGTGGCTCGAGACCAGCCTGAGCTACACAGTGAGCTCAAGGCCAGCCTGAACTGTATAGCGAGACCCTGTCTCAAAAAGGTCAACAAGAACCAAAAAAAAGATTGTGGCTTCAAAGAATTACTGAGGTTTTTACCTGCAATTTATTAAGATTTCCCCTAACCCCTTTGCTCTTTTAGGTTGATGAAACGGGCGTGGAAGTTAAGGACATAGAATTGGTTATGTCACAAGCAAATGTGTCGAGGGCAAAGGCGGTCCGGGCCCTGAAGAACAACAGTAATGATATTGTAAATGCTATTATGGTAAGTGTCCGAGACTGTTCCTTAGCGGCCTCTCGCCTCACCAACCAAAGTGACCTGATCTTCTCTACCTAATATTAGCCAGTTAGGACGCCTCACTCCAGAGCCTGTTCTGAGTTGCCTTAGGTTTTAAGGATGTGAACTCTTCCCACTTACCACCTCTAATTATTTTTTTTCCTCCTACAGGAACTAACAATGTAACCATCTGAAAGGAGGACTATTTTTGGTGTTTCAAAAAGGTCACTGCAGCTTGGTTTGAAATTTGTACTGTTTCTATCACTAATAAAGTTATGACTTATTGGATGAACTCAATGGGTGCTTGGTCTCTTCCCCCCTACTCACCCTACCCCAAATTGAAGTCTTCAGTAATTTATTTCGAGACCACCTTTAGTCAAAAAAATTTAGTGCCATAGATTTTCCTTGCTTAAAATCCCAAACGTTTTCACCTCTTTCTTTTTTTTTTTTTTCTTTGTACCGGGACTCAAACTCAGGACTTCACACTTGCCAAGCAAGGCACTGTGCTACTGAGCAACATCCTCAGCCCACTTACTAGTGGTATTACGCTAGACCGGTGGTGGCACAGCGGGCTGCTTGCTATCCTTGAAAGCTCTTCAGGGGCCAGGACTGTAGCGCAGCGGCACAGAGCCTGCCTGGCAAGCACGAGTCCCTGAGTTTGATTCCTGGCACCAACAAAAGGAAAGAAAACTTTGGCACACGTGTGCCGAAAGCTTTTCACAGTTGCTGTACTAGGGTGTTAGGGCCTTCTTGTTTTAATAGAATGCAAACTACTAGCTGGGCCTGGTGGCGCATGCCTGTAATCACCATTGGGGAGGCTGAGGCAGGATTGCTTGAGAGTTTGAGGCCAGCCTTAACTATATAGCCAAGACCCTGTCTCAAAGAAAAATGAAAAAAGCAAAAATTAGTAAATGGGGATAAGTTACACCAACACCATGGTTGGTTGGTTGGTTTTCAGACTGGGTAAACTCGCTGGCTGGCCTCAACCTGAGTAATCTGCCTCGGCCTTCCAGTGCTGGCCGGGCTAGGATTATAGGCCTGTACCACCACACCCAGTCATCACAAATGATTGGTTTAGACCTCTCTCAGTGGTTGAATTTGATCTAATCTCTGGTTTGGTATTTTTCTTTGAGACAGAGCTTCCCAGTGCCACAAGCACCTGCTTGGCAAGCATAAGGGCTTGAGTTCAGTTCCCAGTACCAAAAAGTTTCTGGCGATAAAACAGCTAAGCATGGTGGCACACCCCTGTAATCCCAGCATTTGGGAGGCTGAGGCAGGAGGATCATTGTGAGTTTGCGACCAGCCTGGGCTACAAAGTGAGCTCAAGACCAGCCTGAACTGCAAAGCAAGACCCTGTTTCAAAAGACCAAAAAAGAAAGTCTCATTAAACTGAACATATGCCCTGGATGAAATCTCCAAAAGAGAAATCAGAATTTGAAAATTCAGATATACTTCTCTAAAAAACAAGAAGTGGCTAATGAATACATGAAAAGATGGTCAACATCATTCACACATTCCCAGGGCATGATACATGGATGACTCCCACCAGGCAGCTTGAACCACCTGTGATATATGCATAACTCCCATTAAGTGGCTTGTACCACTGGTGGTACAAACATCTAATCACTTTTACCAGTATAGTTTATAAATGGACTGAATCTAGTTCCTTGAATGCTTGTATTTGAATAATTACTGCCGTGCTGGGACATGGTGCACTCCTATAATCCCAGCACTTTGGAGGCTGAGGCAGGAAGATCACTGCAAGTTATAGGCCAGCCTGGGCTACATGGTCCAAGGCCATAGTGCACTATACAGTGGGACTCTGTCCCAAAAGAAAACAATTTTACATTCACAAGGAGTTTATCAATAATTCTCTCAAGTTTTAACATGGAGCAGGGGTGACAAAGTATGAGTGCTGGTGCAGGCTCAGGACCTGATATGCACCTTGGCTGGAAGCTGCAGTTCCTGGCCAGCATGCTAGGCAGGCAGCCCAGCAGCAGCAAGCACAGGACAGAGAGGACAGTGATTTGGATGATTATCCAGTGTGGATCTTACGCGACCATTGTGAAGTTGGGGCTCTGAGGGTTGGTGTTAATACTCTTTTTGATAAAGCAAGACTAGCCGGGTGTGGTGGCGCACGCCTGTGATCTCAGCACTTGGGAGGCTGAGGCAGGAGGAGTGTTGGGAGTTCGAGACCAGCCTGGGCTACAAAGTGAGCTCAAGGCCAGCCTGAACTGCATAGCGAGACCCTGTCTCAAAAAGACAAAAAATAAATAAAGCAAGGCTGGAAAGTCAAGAAAGCATTGGTTTTATTAAGGCAATAAACGTGCTGAGGAAAATTCAGTTTTTGACCAGGAAATTGCTGGCTCTACTGTAGAGATGGCCAGCTATGACAGTGTTCCAAAGCCTGGTGTGGAGGGCGAGCCCTCTGACCATCCGTCCCAGGTAGTTCTGCTTCTGAGGAGTCTGCGGAGTCTACAGCTGGCACATTTTGGACTGGAGTGATATACATCAGGCTCCACCGTACCCTGCACAAGCTGTACGCAGCCACTAAGAAGAGCCCATAATTGACACTCCATCTGCCAGGCAGTAGTTAAAATGTGCTCTAGAGATGGATGGTTTTGTAATCCCAGCACTTGGGAGGCAGAGGCAGGAGGATCACTGCGAGTTGAAGACCACCCTGGGCTACAAAGTGAGCTCAAGGCCAGCCTGACCTGCATAGCGAGATCCTGTCTCAAAAAAAAAAAAAAAAAAAAATGGTTTTGAGTGTGTAACTCCTGAATTAGAACACTTTAGTATCTCGGAGTATACTGTGTCTAAATGAAGATTACATAATGAGACAATATGAAGACTATCAAAAGTGAGGTGGCTATATAAACAGAAGCCATGACCAGTAAAAATGGTTTTGCCACACCTGGCCCTGTAATCCAGCAGCTGGAAAAAAGTGACTGAGTATACAGACTCCCTTTTGGCACCTACATTCTGCACTCCTGGTTTGAAAGTTCCTACTACAAAGTAACAGCACGCGCTGGTATCCACAGATATCCATTCATAGAAACATAGTTCGTCGAATGATTTTGAAGTTAAAGATTGCACTTCATTAGTTTTAAATTCAGACTAGTGCTTGCAGAATTTTGCAGACCCCTCCTCTCCTACAATTTCCTCTTAGGAGAATCTGCTCAGAACACCCACACCTCCAGAAGTAACTGCTATTCCGAAGGACGTTCTCCAGATTTTGTCAAAATACAACTCAAACCTAGCTACTCCAGTAGCAGTGAAAGCAGTGCCTGCCAGGAAAGGGCTCCCCAAACCTAAAGGATGGAACACCCTAACAGGTTAGCAACAAAGAAAAGTGAAAACATGCTAGTGGGGGGCTG